AATGGCTAAAATTAATGACTCAGGAAACAACACTTTTACACATCTAGCCTTTCATTCTTTTTTTTTAAAGTTTTTCTTTTTATTATTTTTTATTTATGATAGAGAGAGGGAGAGAGAGAGAGAGAGAGAGAGAGAGGCAGAGACACAGGCAGAGGGAGAAGCAGGCTCCATGCACCGGGAGCCCGACGTGGGATTCGATCCTAGGTCTCCAGGATCACGCCCTCGGCCAAAGGCAGGCGCCAAACCGCTACGCCACCCAGGGATCCCATAGCCTTTCATTCTTGATCTCCCCACTTGTATTTACCTTTTTCTAAATGCACTGTATAGCCAAGAAAAATGATCTTTTTCATTTTAAGGATATTAGACATTTCCCCCTTTATTATAATAAGGCAAAAGGTGAAGGCACCCTATATATACAATGCAGTTATCATATGGCAGGCACAGGAGGAAGGGCTTGATAGGTACTATTTAATGTAATTCTCACAAAAGCCCTTTTGGTTAGAAAGTATGCCCCATCTCCAGATGAGACAAATGGAGTTCAGAGAGCCTTAATGACTGGCACCAAGGTTCAGTGGAGGATACAGTATTCCAGCCCAGCTCTGCCAGGCTCCAAAGCCCTGCTGAGCTGACATTCAGCTTCCATACAAGGAAAACTAGTCTGTGACTTTTGCATTTCATCTTGGTTCCACAGTCCTTGGGGAACTTGCTTAAAGTAGTCAGACCCTTTAAGGTATTTTCAAGTCTGAGAGACAAACTGAGAGTATAGCTAGGTGCTGAAAATTTCTGAGCCCAAGTTCCCCATAGTTGAGCTGGCATTTGTAGTCCCCTAGCTTCTAGTGATCCAGAATTAAATAATCTAGTGATTATTTAATTAATTGTGAAACTGTTGAAGAAAAGCAAGTGGTATTCTGGTTTGGGAAAGTTCCTTTTTATGTGGGAGTGCTTTTCCTTCAGACTCAAAACTGAATGTCCATTATAGGGATAATAAGTGAGCACGTCACCTAGGGGAGGCAAGAAATACAAATGTCGCATGCAAATTCTGAACTTACTTGTTCTCAAAGCAAACTTCTGCACTTGGGCTTAGCCTGCTATTTAGGAGGATGTTAGAAACTTCTCAGGTTATTTTTTCCTTCACAATGTGCTGTTAGAGCCATAGAAAGCATAAATGCATGCATTGTATAAGTTAGATATACAGCATAATAATAAAATGAATGCTCATGAGCCCTGATTAAAGAATAAGAACTTTAAAACCATTTCTTTTGTTTATTGCTCTAACTCCAGGACCTAGAATAGTGCCTGGTATGTAGTAGACATTTTTGAATGCATGCATAAATCAACTTGTATCCTCCTTCCTTATATCATTAACCATAGTCTCCCCTTAGAAGTAACCACTATCCTACATTTGGGGTTTATTAGTCCCTTGGATGTATATGATTTTCATATATATATATATACATAAATGCTTAAAACATATTATATATATATATTATATATATATATTCCCAAATTATGTATTGTTTACTTCTGCACTTTTTTGGGGACTGTATGTCATGGAATCATATAATATTTAGGCTATTGTGATTTATGTCTTTTATGCAACATTAGTTTGTAAGATTTACATATGTATACTTGTATTCTCTTCTTGTCATTGCTGAATTGTAATTTATTGAATGAGGGTGCTGTAATTTATCCTTTTACCTCTTAGTGGATGTTTATCTTTTCTGCTTTTATAAATAAAAGTGATATGACCATTCCCACGCATGCTTCCTGGTACAAATGTGCATGAGTTTCTCTAGGATATAAACCTGGATAGGGACTCTTGTCGCAATTTTCATTACCAATGCCCAGAGGTCAGCCCATGAGGCAGAATTGAAATGTGCCTTTTGTCTACACTAGGTCAGAGTCAGTAAGAGTGCTATCCAACATATTTTTCCAGAAAGAAGAGGGGCAGGTGGGTGGAGACCAGCCTGGAGAAGTTAGCAGGTACTCAGGCCTTTAGTCAAAGTGGGTGGTGGGGATCCCTGGGTGGCTCGGCAGTTTGGCGCCTGCCTTTGGCCCGGGGCGTGATACTGGAGTCCCGGGATCGAGTCCCACATCGGGCTCCCTGCATGGAGCCTGCCTCTCCCTCTGCCTCTCTCTCTCTCTCTCTCTCTCTCTCTCTCTCTCTCTCTCTCTCTGTCTCTCATTGATAAATAAAATCTTTTTTTTAAAAGTGGGTTGTAATTAGGAAAAGTTCAGATTCTCAAACTGTCTTTATTATTTCTCCCCTTCTTTCTCCTTCTCTATAGTTATTTCCATAAATGGTGCATTTTATTAAACATATCTATAACCAAAATATTGATGACTTTTTTCAGTCTTTAAGCATTGATCATAAATTTGATTAATTGAATTAGTTTGTACAATTTGAACTGTGTTTTAAATTTTAATATGGATGAAAATTTCTGTTCCTTCAAGGCTCTTTTCAAAACTACCTCTTGTTTAGGCAGGTTTCTATACTGTATATCTAGTGTTTATTTTCCAGCTACATGATAAAAATTACTGTCATTATCATCATCACTTCATTTACCCATATATACCTTTATACCTTTAAAAAAAACGTTCCTGTCTTTGAGGTGCTTTCTCATCTGTAGCAGTCTATATTCTGCTTTATTATTTTATCTACTATGTTATTTTACAGTTTCTTGCTTCCTGTCTTCTCTGGTAGATAGTAGATTTCTTAGAGGCAAGAATAATATATTGATTATCATGATATTCCCAGCACCTAGCCCTTTGCTTGGTTCATAGGGCTAGATGCTAGGAGTTGAGTTGAGTCTATCTAATTTCAACCTTTAATTTTATAACATGGTTAGTCATAGGCACTTTGGAGTCAGACTTACCTAGGATGGAATCTGGCATTTCCACTTAGAAGATGAGTGGTCTTGAACCAGCTCAATTTTCCTGAACATCAATTCCTTTCCTACAATACAGAGATGATACGGAGTTACCTGGCAAGGCTTTGGGGGAGATTAAATGACCCGATATATATGAAATGGCCTGGCACATAAGGTGCCTAAATACATGTCTTTTTTATTTTATTTGAATGGCTTACATTAGTTTCAGAAGTCAAAAAAAGAGAGAAAAAGATGAATACACTTACAAAAATAAAAACAAAAAACTTCTGCTGCTTCTCCTTGCTTCATGAATGATACATTTTTTTACCCGAGGAAATGACATTTTTAGCCAAAGGAATGATGCTCTTAGCATTTGGCCCATTTACATATGGGAAGTGAGCTATTTTCCTGAGGAACTTGTGGTTCTGCTAGTCTTGCTGGCTTTCCAAAGTCAAGTTAGGAACTGGAGAGCTTGTGAAGGAAAAAGATAGGCCACCATAGCCAGCTGCTGGGTTTGCATATCAGCCAGACTTTTTGAGTGACTTCTGTTGTACTTGGTGGGACTTGAATAAATGCTAATATTTGTGTCTTAGAGGTAAAGTACTTGTCAACTATAGCCTAAGCGAAAATTTTCTTTGCTCTTGCCCTTCCAGGGCTGATCCACGATTATTCAAGGGAGGATAACATTTCATGCTTGTTTGGATTCTGATGACTATGCTTAGCATGGTAATCAAAGAGACGTGTAGAAAGTGAAAGAGTAGCAGGAAGATGATAAGGTAATGGAAACTGTGTTGGATTTGGAGCCACATATCCTGGGTTTGCTGTCAAATCATTTTGGGCTTCACCTCTCTGAGTCTTTCTTCATAAGATATAATAATGAGGAAAAAATATTTCCCAGAGTTGTTTTGAAGTGTAGAAATCACCCAACACAGCAAATAGGCTGCCATTAAGGCTTATTTTCCTTCCTTCCTTCCTTCCTTCCTTCCTTCCTTCCTTCCTTCCTTCCTTTCTTAGTAAGGAAGAAGTGCTCATAAAAAGTATGGCTGCATTCCTGTAGATGAGAATATGGGCAATTGTCATCTACTTTTGGAAGATTAACCCAGGATGTCACTTGGGTTTTGTTGAATGCTGAGACAGAGGGCATAGGAGAGAAAAAAAATTTGACCTTGGGTTAGAAGAACCATGTTTCATTTGTTTCAACTTGAATTGCTATGGGAGACTTAGAATTACACTTCCATTAAGGTTTCAGGATTGGCTTTTCTGACCCTCTCCTTCATATCCATCTGATAGGACTCAGACACAGACCTTCTTAGAGATAGGAAGTTTAGACTAGGTGACCCCTGAGGCTCCATCCTAGCCTAAGGACCCTATGAGTATTTTAATGGCCATGTGTTGGGATGGTATCTGAGAAATTTCCAGCATCACTGTGTATCATTTCCCAACAAAACCCTCAGGCATAAGGATTCTGCTACTCAGTGTTGTAGAATGGAGGTGAGAGGATGCCCATGTGATCTACAGAGATGACTAAGGAAAGTCAAGGAGAGGGGGAAATATAGAACAATTAAGACTGGTATGATGACACTAATCATGATCCCTCACTTGTGTATTCATTTTAAAGGCTTTTTATCCTTTTATATAATTCATACCTCCACTCACAACAGCTCAATAGGATGAGCAATATTATTGACAGGTGAGAGTGAGGCTCAGAGAACTCGAGCAAAGCATACCAGGCTGCTTTGTTTAGACTTTTTTGCCTTAGATCTTCCTTTGGATAAGGTAAAGCCATAGAGCTGGGTTCATACCACGTAACTGCTCTGAAATTGTTGCCAGAACCACTTTAAGTTAGATACCTTAACCTCGGGTTTCTGTCTTCATCCTTCCCTCATATAAACTTAGCCCATGAGAGTGGCTGGTTCCAGAGAACTTCTCGAATTCCTTATCAGGATCCAAAAAGGCTCTGCCTGCATGACAGGAAATCAGCTTCACACTCAATTAAGTAAGGAGTAATTTTATTTTATAAAAAACAATAATTTACACGTGTAAGTTTGCTCCTGAAGACCTCAGACTTCTGTCCTCTTATCTCTGCCAGCCACTGACATGTATTGCATTATTTCTCATGTGTCTTTCCAGTTTGGAGACTGCCAGGGATCATGTTCTACCCATTGACTATTACTTTCCACCTCAGAAGACCTGTCTGATCTGCGGTGATGAAGCTTCTGGCTGTCACTATGGAGCTCTCACTTGTGGAAGCTGCAAAGTCTTCTTTAAAAGAGCCGCTGAAGGTAAGGGGTCTTACACACTACTTTCTCCCTTTCTCCTTTATCTTATATATAGGGACACCAGTCTTTCAGAGCCAAGGACTTTATCATCTTGGAGGCAAGGTCACTGGTAGGACCCTCTCAAAGAACCTAAGAACCTAAAGAAGAAAGTTTTTATATTTGCTGGTCCCCTGGCTTTTGCCACCTTGGTAGTACAGGCAATGTAGTCGATGAAGGTGGTCCTATCTGGTGCTTAGAGCCTGGGGCACTCCTAGGGATAGAAGATAGTTAATGATTTGAAAAGATCTAATTTCTTCTCTGCTTGTGTTCCACTCTGCTGTGTAGTGAGGGAAAAATTGTCTTTATTAGAGAAGTTATGAATGGAGAAACCCCAACTGTGTTCCCCACCCATTCACTATAGTGTATATGGGACTTCTCTTCACAAAGTCTCCTTGGCCTCAGCCCCAGAAAAGAAGTGTTCTTTGCTGTTCAGCAGACCATCAGTTCCCTGCTCCTACTCCCTCCTGCTGCTCCCTTCATGGGACGCCTTTTATATTAATGGCCTCTAGGTAAATAGGGATACAGAGTGATAAAACACTTTTATTTTTTCCATAGACTTACCCTCAGGGCCAGTCCATTGGTATAGCACTCATGCTAAATTGCATCTTACATTTGGCTAAGTGGGCTAAACCCTGGCTTCTTAGTCTTATTGAGCTTAGAACAGTTCATGTCTGATCAAGTCTCAGAGGTGCTCAGCCCACATCCTACAGCAAGAACTCCCATTTCCAGACCTCCTATATATGCTAGTGACTCCTTTCTTCCCAATTGACCTGGGCTCAAACCTCCTACTCATCCACTTCATTCCTCATCCTGTGCTAATGGCTTCTTTTCTCAAAGGGACACTGATAAGCAGCCTCTAGACCAAAATGCTCTGCTCCGGGGGTGGACCCAGTTGCTGAACACCAGTATCTACTCCTATCTCCATTTTCCACAAAGGAAGTACTTCCTGCCAGACCTTTCCTTTGCTCTCATTGGCCTAGAAGTGTTGAGGTCCAAGTTGGAACCAAAACAGTCTTGCCTTAGGTAAAGACTAAAACCCCTGGGGACAGTCTTAAAAGTGGCAGGTATATAAGCCACCCCTTTCACTAGAAATGTGATGGCACCCACCAGAGGACAGCAGAAGCACCAGAGGATTCTTGGCATCTAGAGAAAAGATGCAAAGCAGGTGTCCTTTACTGGTTTTCCAATTGACAGTCAATTGAAATGATGATTGCCTTTTTATAATTTTAAGCAGGTGGCAGGAATACTTATAAAACAGAAAACTGTTACCTTGTTTTCTTCCAGTCCCCAAAGCAATAAAGAGATAGCTAGCTTTGAGTATTACTGAAAATATGCTGCATGTTCCGTCCATACCCCCAAGTAGACTATTGCTACTGCCTGTGCTGGGCTAGTAGAAGGTCCAGAGCCCCAGTACCTAGACCTAGGCAGTTTAGGAAGAGACACAGAGAGCAGTTCTTGCCTTTCTTAAGATACTTACAGAAGGATGGCTGTCAGAAACAAAAGTGAGGAACAGCCCAAAGACATCAGATCACCCCCAGTTTCCTCAGTGAGAATTTGCTTCCTCCCCTACCCCATTATCCTGTAGGCTTTGTCTGTAGAGCATAGAATAAACCAGAGCACTCATGTAGAGATGGTGTGATCAGATGAGGAAAGAGTTTAAGTAAGCAACTGAACAAGCAAATTCAATAGATTAGATTTTATATGATGCTACCTCTGGGTTTTATAAATCTGGGTCACAATATTGCTATTTTTAGAAAACAGGGAAAGTGATAAGACATATTGTAAAAGGGAAAATTTGCTGTCATAACATACTCCACATAGGAGCTTTCTGCAGAAGTTAGGGCTGAAGGAGGGAGAAAGGCACAGTGGCAACTGGCAGGGGCTACCTGGAAAGAGCTGTGCTATGATGTGGATCTTGGGCTGTTTGAGAACAAGGAAGCAGAGATGGCTAATCACTCAACTTACAGAACACTTGGAAACCCAGGAAGGTCTCAAAACGCTCTAGACCCTAGAATCACATAAGTTAGGGAAACTTGGTAATATTGAGAAAATGAGCCTCCATCAGCTCATGGGACCAAATACTATTGACTGTTGAAGTATGGAAAATCACAAATGGATTTCTTAGAAAGCTATGGAGCCCCTTGGCTCCTTTGGAATATGAACCCCACATTCCAGTCCTGAGTTCTTTGAGGGATAGAAGAAAGTGGTTAAAACACACACACACACACACACACACACACACACAAAGAAAACAAAGCCAAAAAAAGGCATTTTCTTCTTCTCTCATCTATAAAGCTTGTTGGCTGGAGTTTACTGCTGTCATTATCTCTATTTGAAGGCAGGGGGCTGTCTTATTGCTCACAGAGAACATTTATTGATTTGGATTTTTTTCCCTCATTTTTACAATGTGTCCTTATTGCCCGAATGGCCTTTATGAAAGTGTTTCTGAATCTGCCTTGTTGAAACTTGAAATTCCACCTGTTTTGGAGAGAGTGGGAGCACAAATCTTTCTTTTCCTCATTTGTTTGTCATTGTCAGTTAAGTCAGACTGAGTATTCGGAGTGTTGATTACCACTTTATTCATGGTTTCAGAAATCTCTGGACTGGGCACAGGTACAAAACTTAAAAGCCTGGCATGTCAAACAGAAATCCATTTCTTGCTTTGGTAGTTCATAAAGCATGAGACTTTAATGCTGTCATTGGTGCAAGGCTCAGCACAGAGTCAATTGTAATCTAGCCAGGTTTTGCTATTGAGGAGGAAGAAGAGGAAGGATCTTCATATTTTCTCATTGTCAGTAATTCTGGGAGTTTGGGGTGAGAATTAGGCTAGTTAGGGAAGTATCTATATATTGTGAGATTAAAAGAGTAATTGTGGTAGGCCATAGGGGTAAAATCACTAAAATCTGGTTGATAAAAACTTTGTGTGTGTATGAGTGCATGTACGTGCAAGTGTGCATGTGGGCACATGCAGTTGGGGGATGATCTATGGGCAAGAAACAGGCACAAGGAGAATCAGCTAGCTGGCAGGGTGTTGAAATGAGCAGGGAAGTAATGGGTAAGGCATATTGAATGCTATCTAAAAGACCAGGAAGTCAAAGGAAGGTGATGCCCATACACAGGAGCAGGGGCTCCAAGGGGTTTTAGTTGTCTGGCTTTGAATAATCAATTTTCCTCTTTGGATTTCAATTTTCTCTGTCTGTAAAATAAGGGACTTAAACTAGATTTTTTTCAGAGAGAGAGAGAGGGAGAGAGAGAATCCCAAGCAGGTTCCATACCCAGTGCAGAGCCTGATGCCGGGCTTGATCTCATGACCCTGAGATCATGACCTGAGCCAAAACCAAGACTCAGACACTTAATAGACTGAGCCACCCAGGCACCCCTATATATTTTTAATATGCTTTTCTGGCTTTGACTTTTTATGATGGTTCTACAAATTACAAATATCATCACTGTCAAAACAATTATGTCAGCAAACAAACATGCATTTATACATACCTATATGCACTTTTGGTTTTGCCTTCCTAACAGATGGTGAATCCTAGATCGTATTTTAAAAATCAATTTTCAGATAAGGATAGAGCTAGCTGAGAAAATACATGGTGGATGGGCTAGGTTAAAAATTCAGGACTCTGAGATTCTCCCTTCCCCCAGCATTGTGACCATAGTTGGATAACTTCCTTTCTTTTCCATTTTCTCATCTGGAAAATCAGGACGTAAATCTCCATCTCTATCACATCATGTTTCAAAGAGGGTTAATTAGTTCATCATGTGAACTGTGTGCTCAAGAATTTACTATTTTTCAGACATTTTCTAGTAAAACATTGGATATTGTACATCCATTTGTTTTGTACACATGGAGTGCTGTTTGGTACACATCATAAAATTGAAACTGTAGTTTACATTCTGGACTCAAAGAATTACAGCATCGTCACTGATGTTTACAATATGTCCCAATTTAGTATTCCTGGCAAATTTTAAATAAGTATGGCTTTGATTCCCTCTCTCACCCCAGGTTTTTGTGAGGGAAGAAATGTAAGTGAACCCTAATTGAACTCTTTCTGTCCTTTAAATCCACTCTTTCCCACCTCAACTCATGTGGAATTGAATATTACTTCTTGTTTGGAGTCTTGCAGAGAGTTTTTCGTGCTTTTCAGTGTCCTCTTCACTCCCTGGCTTTTTGAGCAACATTTCCCAAGGGCAAGTTAACAATGTTAGGAGGATCTGCTTGCAGCTTCAACAGAGACTTGATAGGTATCTTTGGCCAAGGAATTGACTGATCCTGATTGCACTGATCTTAGATATCTTTTCCGAAAGTTCCTCTTATCTTTTATCTGTCTCTGGTTTTTCTAAATGTCAAACTTTAGATCAGGGGGTCAGCCAAATTTTCCTATAAAGGACCAGGTAGTAAATATTTTAGGCTTTGTGGGCCATATGGTCTCTGACTTGACTACTCAACTCTGCTTTTGTAGCCTGAAAGCAGCCCTAGACTATACATAACATAAGCTAATGGGTGTGGCTGTATTACAGTAAAACTTTATGGGCACTGAAATTTGTATTTCATTTAATTTTCACATGCCATTCAGTGTATTTTTCTTTTCTCTCTTTTTAGCCATTTAAAATTTAAAAATCATCTCAAAAAAATTAAAAAAAAATCATCTCAGCTCTTAAGCCACACAGAAACAAATGGCACACTAGATTTTGCTTGTGGACTCCAGCTTTAGATGATCACTCCTGTGCTTGCAAATCGGCATAGAAAATTTCACCTTTTCCAGTCTCCTGGTATTTTAGTAACTCTCTAGATTATTTAATTTTAAACATTCTTCTTCAGTGGCCAAAGTTTGCGTGTCTTGCTTGTCCAGAATGCCTGGTCTGGTGCCTTTTTAGTAAACAGGAAAAAGTAAATTAATAGAAGAATGCTAGAAGAGGGCACATTTTTTCTAATGATCTAGTAGTTCATTCCCCTT